TCACTAGCCCTGAAGCTGCTGGTAGACATCGCGGTTGGAATTATCAAAGGTTTTTGACACCTGAGAGACACCGTAGCAACTACTTTGTGTTTGGAGGGGGCTGGGGGTGGGGGGAGGACCAGGGAGGATGATTCAACCACTCAACCACTAGATGTCGCTGAATACAACAAATCCTACACACTGTGCCTTTAACAGACCAGTGTGAAACTAACATAAGATACAAGCTTATGTAAAGACAAGTGGTTAAACATGTAGTAGCTAAGTTGTAGTCTAAGTCCAAAGTGCTAAGTGACAGTAAGGTCTAGACATCATCAGGATTATTTGTGTCCTTGAGGGACTGAACTCATTCTTGTGTTTGTGTTTTGTAGTCAGCAGATGGTCCAGACCTCACTGACACTCCGGTGGCTCTTCTGACAGTCGTCACAGATGACACAACTGATGCAGCCCTGAGAACATCTGTATTGTCGTGGAGGATGAAATACTTGTGAATGATCCCACAAATCTGGCTGACTCATTTCTCCTGCTCTTTGGATACATCTTTGCACTAGACCTACAGTAGCCAAAGAATGATAAGCTTACATTCACAGTTRTCCAAAAAGTTGTGATGGGTCTTGAGGACAACAAACCACTGAAAGGGCGTCTCCTGATGCTGAAGAATTTGTTCAATGACTGAGTCACTCAGAATGGACAATTTGTTAAAGTGATTATTGAGAGAGTTTTATTTTCCCTTCTAACTCAGATTTAATACATTGGTTGTTAATAGATAAATATCACAACATTGGCGTATTGCTCAAAGTTTATGCACTGAATAACTTGTGTGAAACAACTGTTCAGTTCGTGCACTTTACATGTTTAATGTTACCTGATGTTGAAAGTTGAAGTACGGCACAGTAGTAACAAGTACTTTATTTGAATGTTTTTTTAAGTTGCAGTAAGTGCCAAAATGCTTATAAACAGTGTTAAATGGATACACATTCAAATATTTGTCATTTTTAAGGTTTGGATTATACTTGTAACCTTGAATTTTATCATGAATCCTTTGTTGAGTTTTTATCATAAGGTGCTGGAGTCATCTCCTTTTCTGTTTGTTTTAATTTATGACAAGCACTTTGTTTTGACTGTGCTACTTTGATTTGTTCCTTTTTAAAAATCACATTGTACTGAATAAAAAAAGTTGTAAAATTGTCACTGTGGTGTCACTTCAGTATTTCARTATTGGGTTAATTTTGAGTGCATTTCCCCCAGATTATGAGTTGAGGAACATAGAAAAATCTGAGTGTATTTCCAGCATTATATGAGTTGAAAATATTAAAA